GGCCCTTTCTGGCCTTAAAATCAATTAATCTTAGAGTGAGCTCCCTACAGATGGAGCCCTGTATCTATATAGAGCCCTACTGATTTCTAACTTCATAATCCTTATGGCACCGTTCTGGGCTATAAGTTGCACAGACCTAGGAGTAGCTCCAGGAGCAGCTGTCTCAGAAGCCCAGGAATCTCCCACAATAACGTGATTCCAGGATTGGGTTATATTGCATATGCCTTTAAATGGTTGGTTTGATGATGATAGCGTAATTCATTATTTCTGACAATCCCAGCAAATGTAGGAACTGTTTGAGAGAATAAATTCTTAGCAATAGGAGCACTCACTGCATTACTCTGCTTTTAAAACGTCACTGAAAAATAATTAAATAAGACCCGCCTGTACAAAAGGATCTGGGTAATTCTTGTACAAAGTGCCAATCCCTTAATGCAAAACAAAGAATGGGTTTTCCTGTATCACAAGACAAGCTCCTAGGAGTCAACAACCTTGTCTTCCCCACACTCTCCTGTAAGATGATGCAGCACTTCTCACAGCTCTGTGCCCCAGAAAAAAATGCTTCGAGAGCAGTAAGGGGAAAATGAGAGATTCCCAGTGCCTGGGAAAATTATCTGAATAATTACTCTATTGTACGCTAAAGGAAATATGCTTATGCAAAACTGTGATGTCAGATTTAAATGAATGCATTTGAAGCATCAAAAGTTGAAATGCCAACAGCACAACTATTGCAACTTGAGCTATGTGTCTGCAGAAGAGCACAAGGGAGAAGCAAGAAAGCTGCTCAAACCATTTGCACGCTGCTCCAGACTTGAGCACAGGGGAAGGGATAAGTGCTGTAAGTTATCTCCCTGTTTCATATATGCCCCAAAGCAGATGGTTGGGAAATGGGCAGAAACCTGGTTCTACATCCTCCCCTGCTCACAGGAGCTGAGCCAGGGTGGGAACAACAGCAATTTGGAGCTGACAGAGACTAATAGCAAAGGACTGTCTCCTGGCGCCCGGGAGGAGCAGAGGGTGCACTGCGATGCAGAAGGGTGCCTCCGAGCCATATAAAGGTGTGGGCTGCAGGGAAGAGCTGGAAGGATTAATTTAGCTTTGTAGCCACATGACAGGGACAGCCAGGCACAGTGAGGTAGTGAATAGGTGTAGCCCTCAAGATCCCCTTGGCATTGGAGGTACTGACGCACATTTTGACAAGATCAAGAGCATTGTGAAAAGGGTAAGGACTAGTACGCTGGAGAACGCGTCTTGCCTAGAACGTGGGCTGACCTGGGACAAAGTGACCAGGAGTCCCAAACTCTGAGGACAATCTGGAACTTGAGGATTGTGCCTTAATGTTCCTAAAAAGCCGCCAAACAAGACATCTGTCCTGAGCCTGAAAAACTAATCCCAAATCAAGCAACCTCTTCCAGCCCCTGGACGTTCCCAGGACACCAGGCAGCCTCCTGTTGCATCTGCTGAGAGGATAAAGCATGATGCTGCCTGTTGCCAGGTGAAGGTAGCTATCCTGCTTCCATTGCACTTTGGAGCTGCTCCCTCTGTACCCACAGGTGGTTTAGTTGGGTTCACACAGCAGCGTGCCTGGAGTGATTAGCAGCGCTTGTCTGCACCCCACAGCCCCATTGCCCTGCCCAGACCCAGAAGTGGTATCAATGGCTTCTGCTTCCATTGCTCCCAGGAGCATCTGGAAATGTAGCCCCAGGTTTTCTCCTTGAACATTGCCTTCTCTTCACAATTGGCTGCAAGATCACATAATCTTATTCCTACTAAGGTATTACATGGGGGAGATGTATGTAATTAAGCTTTTAGGGACTATCATTTCCCCCTTGTACTCCCTTTGCCCTCAAAGAGTAGCGATAATAAACTGAGGTCAAACCTGGAAGCATAATAAAATAATCTACTCTGTGCAAAAGTAAACCTCTTGCTGTGATACAGGAGCAGAAAAGGAGCCTAAGAAAGGGACTGGGCTGTTTTCACAGGCTCTGACCTTTACCTGTGGCTGAGAAGCCAAAGCGCAACTCAGATAAATGATTTCAAATCCCTCTCCTCCCACGCTGGGTGCTGGTCTGATCCCAGGTAGTTCAAATCGTGCTGCTGGTAACCACCCTAAAAGGCTATACAAGCACATGGGAAACCCTCCATACCTGCTTTCTCTAGCCAAATCATCCAAACCTTCACCAGACAGAGTGGGGCATAGGAACTGCTAAGGCAACTCTGTCCCATCAGTGGGACCCTTTGCATTGAGGTGACCCTTCCCCAGCTACCTATACTGGTTTCAGAGCTGCAGGTCTGGGCACCAGAATCTTGTCTTGTGGGCGCTCACCTGCAAACCAGCCATAGCTGCCCATTCATGCCAAGTCCAGCTTTAAGGAGGGACATGATTTACCAAGTTAACAGGATGGCATGACTAATCTGCAAATACTCCCATTTCAGCTATGACCTTTATGGTACAGTGCACTTTCCAGCACCAGGAACTTCTTCAAATGATATCCTCAAGGATGGGGGCTGTTCATCTGCAAGCTGTTTGGGTGTGACTGCCTCGTAAAAGCTGCATGTTCCAGTTCTGCTTTCTGCAAACATCATTAATTACCTGCTCGCCTGCCTATAAAATAATAGCAGATAAACTAAACAAAACTCATTTGCCTTGTCTTCAGGACCAGCTGCAAGATCACATCATCTTGCTCTTACAATGGGAAGTAAAGTAAGTTGTGTCCCATATTTTCTTTCTACACAGATTTGCTTCTTTCTCTTGGAGCTATACGGTGATAGATTATGCTTGAACTGGGAGGACAGAGGTTTGCAAGAGCTTTATACAGGATGAAAGAAGGATGCAAAGAGAAAGCACCAGACCTCTCGCAAATGAAAGAAAATAGGTCTGTGTAGCTATGCGTGTGAATGTATTGCAAGGTATATGTATGGATCTGTTTCAAATAACTTTTTATTACTAAACCCCAACTAGCTAAGAGAGCTTCAGTTTGATGCTTTGGTACAAAACACCTGCCACAAATTCTTTGCTATTAAGTCATTACACTTGCACAAAATTCCAGCTGGTTTGAGAATGACCCCATTTCTGCACCGGTGCAAAGGATGGCAATAATTACTTAAAGAAAGAAGCTTTATTCCCGTCTCATATTTTATCTTTGTGTCTGATCTTCCATTGAGAATGCAAGCTATTTGAGACTACTGATACTTAATGTGTTCTGTCTTTGTACAATGCCTAAACAGTGGGGTCCTGGTTCATACCCAGGCACTAGGATAATAGACACACAATAATATTTGATTCCCTCTGCTCCCCTAAATATTCATTGTATTGGAGCAGAAGCAGTGAGATTATAGAGATGTTTTTGCCGGTATGGCATTTTTAGATGATTTCGTGTCCTACTCTTTAACAAACTTTTGGCATATTTTATCAGTAATCATTGTTTTTCATTTAGTATTTACTACAGTGCCAATGAAGTCAGTTTATAATCAGCTTTTATAAGCAAAATTGCACTCATTCTAAACATAACTTTTGTACTGTGTGGAAAAATATATGTCCAAATTCAGGCTTCAACTAATTACACTACAATCAGAATTTCCCAGATTTCAGCACATCACACGCCTTGTGTCACACTGAGGAAAGAAAGTCCTGCATAGGGCTCTCTTGGACTGTAAAATTCCTCTGGCCTGATTTACAGAAGTGCTAAACACCTGCTCTCCTCGTTGACTTCATCTGGATTTGTGACTGCTCAGCTCCTCTGAAAGTCACATAGTATATTCTGCATAATACGGGATGTAAATATCCATTACCCAATAGTCATACACTCCACCATCATAGCTATAAAAAGATGAACACTGTGCTCTGTCATGCACACAGATTATTAAAGTGGGATGAATAATTAATTGCAAAGCTGGGCAATTTTTTTATCAAATGCTTATGATGAATAAATGTTTCTTTTATTCAGTATCTCCATAGGTGACTGAATAATATTCTGCAAATAATGTTTCATGAAAATGTTGGCATTTTCCCTCTTACATAATTACTTACAAACCAATTTCTTCAATGTTAATGAGGAGGTACCATATAGACTAATAGGCAGACCTGTTCCCCAGGTCAAAGACCTTATAATCTTAGACCCTGATGTAATGGTTTTAATGAGCCAGTGGATCTCTGTGCTTACAAAGAAGTGCTTACATGATTGAGGTCAGCATCGTGATATAATAAATGAAAAAATACAAAAACAGAGGAAGAAGGGGGAAGAGAGACCAAAACTTGGAGATATAAATTCATTCGTTGGTTTACTGATATATCTAGCTGGAGGGTATTATTTGTTCTAGTGACAGCCATTGCTTTTGTTACTTGTTTCTAATCCCTGTCTGTACTCTTTTTCTTCTTTTAATTAATTGTAATTATCGACTATATTCAATTTTCACTTTTTTCATTCCTTGCCTGTCTGTTAAATCTTGCCTGCTTTCTACTACTGTACCATCTCCAGCTTGTAACAACATATAGCACGTTTAATGGTCAGTCTCCCTGAAATCCTACTGACTTGTAAATGCTTCTTAAGAGCCAAACGCAAGACATAAGGACCATTTCTGAGTGGCAATCTTATCCTCCAGCACATTGCAGCGTTCCCTTATATTTTCAGTTCATGATTCAGTGTTTGCTCCTGTTTCACCTTGATGAAATTGTCCCTCCTGTCCAGGGGCTTCATGCCAGTCAAGTCCTATTTAAATTCTCAAAATGGAGTTTCTATGGGACATAACGTAACACAGACATGTTGCTGGCCTTCTGCATGAGTGAAAAAAGAGGCAAGTCTCAAAACCTCTTTTGAATTACACTGCTGGGTGATGGGAGATGGTGTTCCTGCATTTCATGGTAACAGTACTCGTAACAATAACATACCAATCCAAAATAGACGGTCTGGTAGAAAACTAACATGACAGCTTTCTCAGGATGATGGAGTTTATCATGCTAGGGTATGTCAATGTTTATGTGCTCATTCTGCTCTTTCTAGGTTTCAGAGATGAAACTTTATCCATTCCTCTGCTTTTGTTTTGCGTTCACGCTTATCAAAGCAGCACCGCATGAAACTTTAAATAAAGATGAGGTCTTCGGAAACATTACCAATCATCAC